ATGTTAACGATAACGATAATTTTGTAAAATTGAAGTGCTGGAGGAAATATTCAATGCAAGCTGTTTCGAATCTTGTTGAGAGAAGCCTTAATTTTCCATTCGCGGCCGGTAACTTAGATGAATCTACAGCTGTTCTTAATAACGCTTTGAAAACGTGTACCAATCAACTAGTTGAGCAAAAGTTTGTTTCTTTGAAAAACTCGAACAGCTGGTACAATTTGGATCTTTTGCGTCTTAAAAGGAAAAGGGACAAATTGTACAAAAAGTTTTGTAGATCTTATAATGACAATCATTGGACTAGGTACACAATCGCGCGTAATAAGTATTCACAATCGATAAAGAAAACTCGTTATGAATATGTTCAAAGGAAGATAGATCAGCATCAAAACAACAACAAAGAGTTATGGAAAATTTAAGTACAAACCGCGGTCCATAACTTTTAATGGCACATTAGAACAGTCAGAACAAGTAATTGCAGCTAAGTTTAATGATTATTTCGTAGATAGCGTTTCATTGATTAATCAATCTATTGAATTGGTCGATGAACCTGACGAAATAAAAAAGCCAGTTAATAGTAGTTGCAGATTTGAAGTTTTTCACCCAATCACATAAGATGAACTTAGAGTTATTTGTTTTTCATTAGAAAAATCGGCTGGAGTAGATAATGTTAATGCTAGAGTTATTCAAGATTGCTTTCATGTCATTGGCCACATCTTGCTGGACCTTATTAATGAATCATTGCAAACTGGACATGTGCCACAAATTTGGAAGGAATCCTTAGTGGTTCCTATTCAAAAAGTTGCTGGAACGATTAAAGCCGACGAGTTTCGTCCTATCGACATGTTGCACACATTAGAGAAAATTTTAGAAATTGTTGTTAAAGGCTAGCTGTTGGAGTATTTAAATAGTAATAGTTTGCTGATACCAGAATAATCGGGATATCGGGAAGGTCGTTCTTGTGAAACCGCGTTGAATTTGGTATTAGCGAAGTGGAAAAATAACTTGGAGTGTAAAGATACGATTTTTGCTGTTTTTTTGGATCTTAAACGCGCTTTTGAAACAATTTCTAGGCCCTTATTGTTAAGATCAATCAAGCGCTTTGGAATTATTGTTATTCATTGCAGCTAAGGATTTAGATGATGCCGTTTTACACTTGAATGAAGATTTACGTTCTCTAAGTAGATGGTTGAAGTATAAGCAGTTGAAATTGAATACAAGTAAAACTAAATTTATGGTAATTTCACGGAATCGATTAAATGAGAACGTCTCTGAGACTATTGATCGCGTTCGGGAGATTAAATGTGACACACTTAAGTTCAACTCTCACATTGACAATGTCATCAAGAAAATTGCCAAGAAGTATGAAATTCTATGTCGAATGAAAAACGATTTAACTATTGCCAGTAAAATACAGCTATACAAATCAATCATCTCTCCTCATCTTGACTTTTGCCCTTCCATTTTATTTCTGGCCAATGCAACACAAATATCGAGATTACAGCGCTTGCAGAATAAAATAATGCGTTTGATTTTGAGATGTAATAGATTCACTTCTTCAACTTTGGTGTCAGACGCCTTACAATGGTTGTCGGTGAAGCAAAGAATTGTATATTTTACTATGGTGTTCATTTTTAAAGTAGTTAACGGTTTGCTGCCTCGATATTTGTGTGATCGAATTGAAAGAGGAAGTGACTTTCATAGATATAATACTAGAAACGCGGTTGAAATAAGAACACCATATTTCTTGACTTGTGCTTCACAAAATTCATTATATTATAAAGGAATAAATGTTTTCAATTCGATGCTTAGACATATCAAACGTTTAGCAACACTTACAGAATTTAAAAGACACTGCGTTTCACACGTTAAACTGTCTTTTGAACAGTTATCCAGTGATTTGTTTTTATGAATTGACAAATTATGTATCTGGACGAAGTTATCTCTAACGGATTAATTTATATGGATAGCTGTCATAACGACTTTTTAATAATTATTGTAGCACTGCAAAAACTATTTCTGTTCGCCACGAGGGTGATGATGGATTTTTAATATTTGATTTAATAGTAGATTAATTTAAAAAAAAAAGTAGTCTACAAAAGTTTGAGCCTCGCGCGCGTATTACGGATATAGAGGACTGAATTTAACATTTGATAAAAAAAAAATGCAATTTTGAAGCTTATTTGAAAGATACCTTGAGTTAGTAGTAAGTTTTCTGGCAAATGTTGGGAGTTCGTGAGCATTCCTGACATTGCTGAAAATTATGATAGCATCAGATTGCGGGGTTGCTAGTGTAATAGGATGCTTTGTTGATTGTTCATTAACTCTTGATTGCTTGTAATACTTATGAATATTTTAGGTGGACAAAAAGGCGAACTAAGAGGTGGACGCCTGAGCTTTTCCACATTTATATCGCTGTGAAGCAACTGTAAACTCTAGAGGGAATTTATATCTGTAACTGAAACCAGTTCGATTTTGTTTGCCAACTTGGTTAAAATGTCATATTCAATTATCTTAAAGATAAATCGTCCAGCTCAAACCTTTGTAGGGGTAAGAGGTGGGACCATCATCATCATCATCATCATCTTCATCATCATCATCATCAACGTATAAAAAGATATTTAAAGAATGCCGATTGTCTAGGTGCCACCCTAACCTGCTTGTTTAAAAAATCATAACTCATGAACCATAGGAGATAGATATATGGTGCGTGTGTGTATGTGTGTGCGTATTGGTGTGCTTTGAAAAAGGCATTGTGAAGCATTGCTACGGTCAGTGTTGGAAAAGTTCGCGATATTTCACGAAGTTCTCCAAGGGAAAAGTTCGCGAGTCATAGTGAGTTTTCGGGAACTTTTCCATCACTGGCTACGGTATACACCGCAGATTATTATTATTATATAGAAACGAATATTTTCCAAAGAATACTTTACTTGTTATTCCTAATTTCAACATGTTTCGCAAAAAAATCGCAAAACACATTAAAGCCTATCTGAAAGCTAACTTTTCTAGCTATCTCTTGGTTACTAAATGATAGTGGGCGGATGTGTCCGTCATATGTTTTACTTAGTCTAAATGCGAAAAAAGTATATTTTTGCTATTTTTAATATCAGAAACTGTTACTAAAAACTCTAAGACACTCTTTTTTACCATCCATTTGACGTTAAATAAGCCGAGGAACATTTCTTCTGAAGCAACCAAGTTTATAAACACATTATTTTTTGCTATAGGGTATACGTCCCTAACCTCGGTCTAATATGCAGCCATCGATTACGTTTTTAATCATAACTCATCAATGAATTTACCTGCAAACGATATTCTACTGCTAAATGGTATGCTTAGATATGCTTATCATGTCGTTTGCTATCAGAAACCACGAAAAGTTGAAAAACTTACTTTTTTTAAGACAATAACTCACGAGGGAAATGTATGTAATATGGGTCTATTGTCCCCAAATTGGGTCTATTTATGGATGCAACTTCGTCCTATCTTGTTTGATCCTCAAAAAAACGCTCTTGGTAACGTTTTCTGATGTATTTTTTTTTATCACTATCACTGTTAACTTAATGCTCTTCATTCCTCAAAACATTTCTTAGAGAAAATTTTACGAAAACTACATTAAATCACTCAATTTAAAAATTAAAAATTAAAAATTTCGCTTATCGTCTTTTGACCGCAGAATATCTAAATCAGAACATTGTGATGTTCATTATACAGGTTTGGCAGAAAAAATCTCCCTTCCTGTTCGTTCCTTATCATCCAAATGCAAAACAACATTGTTGACGTTACTCTTATTGCTATATGCTGTCAAATGAATTTCATGGGCCATAGTTAGGAACATAGAAAAGAAATGTGTCCCTAAAGTTGGGTCCATGTTTTACTTGTGAAAACGTTGTTAAACAATTAAAATAAACATAAAATATTCAAACAGCAACTGTAAGTTTTACGTCTAGTGTGTATTATCAGGTAATTCCAATCAATAAATGCCATAATCAGGCCATTTGATGATCGTCAGTCAACCTTCCCATCTTAACCTTATAAGTCATGGCGGCTAAAAACTCCGAACATTGTGATATTCTCAACCAGTTTTATTACTTACGAGAGCTGAAAATGTATTGAAATGTTGTGATATAAATTGATTTGTGTGTGGTACACATTTATCAACCATCAGTGATCAATATTTTCCTTATTTTTTGTGTAATATTCCTTAATTAATTATTTATTTGCGTGATAGGCCGAATGAAAGGACTAGACCCACATTACATACCGTAACCCTATTTGAGCAAAACAGTAACAAGAAACATAACGATTTTTTTCAAAAAAAATTGATATCTCTACACTGTAACAGCCATAAAAAATATTTAATCAACAGAACTGCACAAATCATTCACTTTAAGATACTCTTAACATGTAAAAATGATAAAAAAATATTGAAATAAAAAAATATCAACTTTAAGTTTTGAGGTTTTGGCCAGCCAGGAATCACTGTGCATCCCAGCGGTGCTGACTGAGATTGAACCCAGGTCTGCTATGGTGAAAGGCAATCACGCTTACCACTACACCACCGCCGTCGCTTCAATAATTCGCGGATGAAAAAAATGTCTATAAACTCTAGAATGCATTGATTCATTTGATAAATATTTTTCATCAGAAACTGAATTGATATTTCAATCATAAATCACAAACATCCGAATTTAAGTTACAACATCCCGCTCTTTTGTACACAATGGCTTCAATAGGTGATTCATTTTCCATAATAACCGTGTTGTTTTGAACGAGTGCTCCGCTGCACGCAACCAATTATAATTTCACATATCATCGACTAATTTAATTAGTGCTGAAAACCGTGCCGTCTCTTCAGGTCGATTCATAATCAATAGAGATCCTTATCGACTACTTTGATACCCACGAGAACAGACTACGTTTTGATGCAGTATAAAATGGTTCGATACAAGCGTTATGAAATCAGTTTCTATCCGGGTCAGAACAAACACAAAGCTTGTAAAATGTTCAGCGTCGTAGTTCTTCTGACTTTTGCAGTAGTGGCCATTTCGGCAGGTCCAGCTCCTACCAAACAAATATCCCACTATGAAAACACCATCCTACACAAAGGTCCGAGTCCCAAGCTTAACCACAAGATTATCCCCGTTCAAAATTCCATTGGAGATAATCAACTAAAGAAGCTTTTTGACGAGTTCAACTCCTACCCAGAATACGAGTTCGCCTACGGTGTTCGGGATCCCATAACGGGTGATCACAAGGATCAATGGGAGAAGCGCGTCGGCGATCACGTGCAGGGGGTTTACATGTTCGAGGAAGCGGACGGAACTCAACGGATCGTCGAGTACGAAGTGGACGATGTGCAAGGCTTTAGGGCCAAAGTAACGAACGTCGGCCAGCGGCAGCCCGAAGGAAGCATCAAGTCGTCGAAGCTAGCCCACCATCACCAGGGAAGCACCGCTACCAGCTATAACATGCTCACCAAGGCCAATTAGTTGCTGTTTCGGATCACGATCGGTTATGGGTTTGATAAGATCATACTGGAACTGAAATAAAGCATTACGACCGTGTACCATCGTAGTGGAGCTGTGTTTGTTTTGCATAAAATGTTAGCAGTTTTTCCCATTTGCGATTCAATCGGTTTGTCCCCTTAGGAGGTGCACTTTGGGCATATCAGTTTGGCTGCAGACCAACAGCCTAATTACAATCGTAATCGAACGTTGTGATGTTGTGAGACATGCTATAGAGAGGAAAACAAGATCCATATAGATTGAAGCGAGAAATTGCTGCATTGCGTGCTTGCGGAGATTGCAGAATTCGATAGTGAAAGGGTTGCATTTGGAGCCCGAAGGCTGAACAAGGCAACTAAGTTTGTGTTTATGTTAATCAATCGACCAAACCTCTTTTGCTAAGATGATTTTTGCTATTTCGTACGAAATCGGAAACATTTGTTGGTGGTGTTTGTTCTCTAAAATCACGATTTCATGTTAACAATGCAAAGTTTCAACCCAACATAACAATCACATCACGGTCAATTCCTCTACCGTATTGCACCAATCAGATCTCCCTAAACATAATCAAAACACGCCGATTTCCCAGCAAATGAGCGATGAATGTTTTAATTTAGACATAATTGCAGTTGCACCCATTTGCGACAAACACTGCCACATGGCCGGCACAGCGGGAGAGTGAGTGTGTAAAGTTTTAAGTGAGCCGGCTGCCAAACGACCGCCCACTTGGTCAGCAGTCGCTGTCATTCCTTAGCACAGATTGGTCACCACGTGCGTCGGACAACTCTCTGACTAATGATGGCAGGAGTGGATTTGGCATGTTTAGATAATTAAAATCTAAAGACCAACTTATAAGCCCCAGAAGATAAAGTAAGTACAAACAAAGTAGCTTGCACACCTCTGCTGTGGCGGTTACTGGTGCCAAGATCTACATCAGCTGCCAACCGCGGCTCAAGCTTGGGATATCAACGGACGGCGGGGCAGGAGATTGCATACCATCATCGTCGTCGTCCGTGGCAGTCGGTGAGTGACTGAAGAAGCAGAATCGTGTCCATGATTTATGGTTTGGAGTGCGAAACGGTGGCAAGTTTGGCACGAATGAAATGACCAATTTTGGAATGAGGTGGCATATCTAGGGTGGCTGATTTATTCTGGAATGCCGGAGAATGATGAAAAATCAGAATTAATGAAGAGTGCATGGGCGCTGCAATGGATGATTGGCAATGATCGTGAATTGGTAATAATCAGTGCTGTTACAATGTTTGGTGCTTTGGATATTTAATCAATTTTGAAATAGTTTGTGATTAAGGATTTTAAAACGATCAACAGCTGTTTGCAAGATGGACTTTGCTGACCATATTTGTAATATTTCGTAACAACCACAGTGTGGCGGTTACTGGTGCTTTAATCAAATAAAATTGAACGTGTCCTCTGTTGTTATAAAAAGTATTCTCCATTCATGGCTGCTTGTCTCCAGTTTCTTGAGCGTCCCACATTTCCTAGATCTTTCTCCACTCGGTAATACCAGCTAACTCACTGCGCTTTTCTGCATCTTATACCTGCCAAATTCAAGACAACCACCATCACAGCGTGTCCCACTCGCATTGAACTTTTCCAGCTTTGGAGACTTTCGGTATAGTACACACTTAGAAATGGCTAACTTTACACGTGACGGAATCTATATTTGACGTAAAGGATCAGACGTTAACAGATATTTCATGTAAAATTTAGTGCGTGTACGAGAGTTCATAATTGTAACGGCAGAACATATGTATACAAGTAGGCACAATTAAGTCCACTAATATATACTGAGGTATGGGTATATTTTGTATGTAATCAACTTGCTATAAAACTGAAAAATACCTACTAGGAAGAGGGTCATTCATAAAATCCAAATAATTCGTTATGTTAGCTAGCGATTTGTGAGGCGTAAAATCTTTCGTAAATCCAGATCCTTAAGGGTGTATTCAATAAAAATGGCACACACACATTTACTCACCAAAATTAAACCCATTATCGAATTTTCTTGAAATTTTCAGGGAATGAAAAACTGCTTATGATTTAAAACAACAAAATATTCATACTCCCATACTTCCTTTTTTCTCCACCCATTAAATGTTGCACAATCGATTTTTCCAGTGCTTTTGTTGCGTTTACCCAAATTTTCTTCAACTCCAGCTCTGTTTTAATTGTTTTGGGATGTTTGAGAAGTTCCGTCGTAATAATTGCTAAGAATTTTTCAATTGGGCGAAATTCTGGTGAATTTGTTGGGTTCATATCTTTGCACAAAATTGACTCCGTTAGCTCGGTACCACTCCAACAAGCTTCGAACGTAGTGATAGGGTGCTAGATCAGGCCAAAACAGATTTGTTCTTTTGTGCTTCCTTATGAATAGCAAGAGACTCTTCTTAAGGCACACTTTCGTGTAAATTTATTGTTCCGGAACTGATGAAGGGAACTACCAGATCAGGAACTTTTTTGCAAATTTCGATAATTTCTTCTTTCGAACATCCTCCGGAACATCGAACTTAATCTTGGCAACGAAATATTCTTGTCCAGGAAGTTGATTTGTTGAGCATCGGTGTGTAAAGTTTCCAGGCGCGGGTTTTCGACACCTTGGACTTTTTAGCAACATCTCAAATTGACGTGATTTGACATTTCTTGAACTGTTGCATCACTTTCCTGAACATTTTACCATAGAGGTAACTTTAAGACCAGAAGGTCCCGAAGAAACGAGCTCAACTTTTTGGCTCAGCTCTGGTACTATCTTCGGTCCCAAGCTAATCGAGACACCCCTCGAAACATATGAAAATCCATGAACCCCTCATTTTATCTGTCAAACTTTCATAGCGAATCAAAACAAACATACTGTAGTATTGGAATTTATACTAGAATGGGGTACATTAACCGATTTGCTTGGGACCCATAGGCTAGTTAAGTAGTGAGCCAATTTTAAATCGTTAGTTTCGTATTGATTGTTGATTTTACTGTCCATTGGACCACTTGTACGACCACTCTCTTCCTTCTTTCGGGCACTCAAACGCTTCTTGAAGGAGAGACACAGTTGTATTTGCAATTCCAAGCTTGCTTCTTAGCGGTGAGACGCCTCTGGATTTTGATTTTAAATGCACAACATTTCTTTCACGGACAATTTCTTGTTTCGACGACATGACTGGAACTACTGTATGAATAACAATGAAGCTTGACAGATGTAAAAAATACCCTATGAATAAGATCTACTAAAATTTTTAGGTTCTTACTCTTACGGTTAAAAAGTTACAGAAGATTTTCGGTGTGCCATTTTTATCAAATACACCCTTTAACCTTTTTCCCTTGATTTTTTTTCGTCCTGAGCACCAATGCTACCGACGCCAGCGAGGCAGCTCCCACACCTGCACCCTACCTATCGACCCATCAACTCATGAACCGGGGACCAAGGGCTTTGCTTCCCTACGTGATCAGAGATGTTATGCCTCAGAACATCCTGGCGGCACCGACTGGGATTGAACCCAGGCCTGCTGGGGTGAGTAGCCTAAGGCTTAAAATCTCTTAAATAAAGCTTTAAAAATGTAGGGGTGAGAGACAATCACGCTTACCACTACACCACCAGCACCGCTACTACCCTTTAACCTTGATAATCCAACCTCTCAATCCTTGTTCCATCCCGACATAGTTGTTATTCTTGGCCAGATTCTTCTTAAACCAAAACCCTTGTACGAACCCCATGCCAATTGGTGATAATTTTCTTAAAATGGTCGAAACTTGCCTAGAGTTCCCAAAATCTTCCAGATGTTCATTTATGACTTTTCTGAAATTCTCAGAACCCTCCCGATCTTCACGTAAATTTTGTAAAGATTTTAAAGCTAATGAGAATTTTGATCAACTTCTCGTTGCTCTCTGATTTTTTCTAAAAAAAAAAAATCAACATCCCTAAAGCTATCTAGACTTCCCAAAAATTCTATAGACTTTTCGAAATTTCCTGGACTTTCCTGAATTCCACAGATCTTCTTAAAAGTTTCCACAATATTCCTGAGCAGGCATGGAAAATCATTTACATTCATTTCATGCATTCATTTACATTCATTTGCTTCTAACTTTTTTCATCAACAGCATTCCACAAAATGATGTACAGAGCTTTAGTAGGTTTTGTTATTAACTACAACTTTTGACCATAACTCAAATCTGTATCTCTTATGCATCACGAATTAGAGCGGGCAGAACTCGTTACTGTTTTTCAGTGAATGTAAAATACATTCACTGAAAAACAGTAGTGGATTTTGTTGCTCTGGTTCGTCATGCATAAGAGATACGGATTTGACAAAAGTTGTAGCTAATAACAAAACCTACAAAAACTTAATACATCATTTTGCGGAATTCTGCTGATGAAAAAAGTTAGGGATAAATGAATGTAAATGAATGCACGAAATGAATGCAAATGATTTTCCATGCCTGTTCCTGAGGTTAATAGAACAATTTTAAAGTTCTTCGATCTTCCCTAAAGAATGCTAACGGAATTTACCTTAAAATCTCCAAACTTGCATGAACTTCTTTTGGTTTCCTGAAATTTTATTTTCCTGATTATCATGAATCTTCTCTGACCCTGTGATTTTTCTTAAAAACTTGAAATTTCTTTCAAAATTGCTGGACTTCTGAGGACTTTCGTAATATTTTCTGTAACTTTCTAAACTTCTTTTGCAATCTTTGAACTTCTTCTAAAATATCTGGGCTTCTCTAAGATTAATTTATCCAAATAGTTTAATTTCCAAGATTTTTGCTGAAGTTCTAGAAATTTTACTGCAATTCAAAGAACTGTCCTAAATTTATAAGAACTAATTCTTCAAAATCTTTGAACTACCGTAACATAATAGATTTAAAAAAAATCGGAGCTTCCCTGTAACTACACTAAAAATTTGAACTTTCCTCTCTTCATTCTTAAAAATCTCTGAACTTTCCAAAACTTCTCTTATCTTACCTGAAGTTTTTGG